CAGTCAACTTTCCCACTCTGAACTGGTTAGCGATCAATCGGTAGCAGTCTGGAATAGCCAGCTTCCACAGTGCAATCACCACGCACTTCACCAATGACAGGGCCACTCTCATTCTCATGTCCTTGTGCTGCAGGGCTGGGGTGAGCTCATTACACAGTCCCATGAATGTGATTTTTTTCATTTGAAAGTTCCACAGCCACTGCTCGTCATCCCAGATGTGCATGACGATGTGATCCCACCACTCCGTGCTTGTTTCCAAAGCCCAAAAGCGGTGTTCCACTCTGGTCAGCACCTCCGTGAATGCCACAAGCAATCTCATGTCGTAGCTACTACGCATGGCAAGATCAATGTCAAACTCCTTTTGCCTTTGTAGTTTAAGGAGTAACTCCACTACCACTCATGACGTGTTAGTGAGAGTGAGCAGCATATTGGTCAACAGTGCAGGATCCATTCCTTCAGACCAAAGCGGCAGAGTGCACAGTACACAAACCGTTGAAAGATGGCGCCAAATGCGGATGGAAGCACAGGGATTGCTGGGATGCGAAGCAATGCATCACGGGGCATTGGGACAGGACCCACGATGCCCTATGACCCTCTCTGCCTTCCCACAACTCTTAGCGGCAGAAGAGGAAGAGATGTTCTGTGGGATAGCTGCCCAGAGTGCACCACTCCGAATACTGCTGCTGCAAGTGTGAACACGCTATTGCACAGGCAGCTGACAGTGTGAACACACAACAGTAGTTTCCCTTCAGCACTCTCTGAGCGGCGCTGTAACTCCCGGCGATGTAACTCTGCCAGTATAGACAGTCAGTCTTCACTTCGGTCTCTAGACTCACTAGTGAGGCAATGCAGTTGCAGGTTTGTCAGTTGCAGAATGATTTTCTCCACCTGCTGCTGTCCTGAGACACTGCAGGGACTCCACAATAGTTCTACAGACCCGCATGCGAGAGAATCTTCTTGCAGAAGAAGAAACTATCTTACAAAGAAAGTCTTCCCTTCCACCTCCCAAAAACCATAATTAGTGACCATAACTCAATGTTTTGAGGGGTGATGGTGATTTTATTTAACAATGTTACTTACGGGATATAAGTTGTCTGCAGTAAAATTTATTCACTGCATCCAACACTCTTTCTCACTCTGAAAAAGTTACAGGGAGCTCGTGCATGCATTGGTCTTTGCAAACTGCAGACGATGGGCAGGTGCCCAGAAAACAACTTCCCAAATGGACACAGCAATATGCTGCAGAGGCAGCATGAACACATGGCTTGTATCTTGATCGGGGCCAGCTCTTGCAAATTCCGGTGATGTTACAAGAGCATGGAGTGCTACATGCCAGAACAGTTGTGTGGCCAGGAAAGCTGCACAGGTCAGAAGCATGTGGACCATTCATTCTCCATGGAAAGCTGCATGTGCTACAAATATGTGGATCCATCCCTCAGAAGCCTTTAGCTACATTTTTATGCTCACCATGAGGTCAATTGCAGAGGGCCCCTAGAGCTATCCCTGCACAACTTTTTGGAGAAGGCAGAGTCCCCAGTAGCCTTTTCTGCACTGCAGTCCTACTGGCTGTGGTTTGTCTGGTATCGATGTACCACAAGACAACACCGAATTTTGGCTTGAGTGATTATTCTTACGAATTTCAAGGATTGTGTCTAATTAGAGAGAGCTACTCCAGAATACACATTAAAAATTAATCCACACAGCAACAATCAAAGTGCCACATCTCCTGGATCAGCATGGGTTTTGTCATAGCTTTGTGTTATTTACAATGTAAGATGTGACTCTGTATGAAAGTTTCAAATATAAACATTTTTAAAGGTACAGTGAACTGTACGGTAATAGGCTTCCCCCATTCTACATTTTCCCTTATGTTTGACACCCACTTTTCAGTGACATCTCTCCTATATCTCAGAGGGTCCCTTCTGCCAGAGGCATATATAGCCCTCTAAAAGAGGCTGCTAGCCTTTCAAACTTTAAGGTTTTAGTTGTTTCTTGCCTTCCTTACAGTATCTTAGCAAGCTAATGATTGAGAACTCAGATCCTGTTTTCCATTTTTTTTTTTAGCAGGGTCCCCCTTTCTGTGCTCTGGACAGGTATAGAACCTGATGATTTTCTACACTTGCAGTTCTCTCTCTTATCGTAGGAAATTGAGTTTTAGGTCTTGGCTCTAGATATTGTAAATGCTCTTACACTGGCCCAAGATGGTACAAGTAGCTGGAAGCAACAGCATCTCCCAGAATAGGAATAGAAGCCAGTGCTGATCAGCAGCCACCAAGACAGTACTTCTAGCAGCAGCAGGTTTTGGAAGAGACCCTTCCCTTTCAGAATTACAGTCAAGAGACTGATTTACCTTTCATGTCTGAAGTATATTAACAATAGGTACCAGACTATGGCCACATGCAAATTCTGCTCCAGGACTGTTGAATATTGCTGACCAAGAGAAGTTTCCGCATAACCATACATGTCGTCCATCATAAAGCACGTCAAGGACATAAAACTTGAGTACGTTGAAAGACCAGTGAAGAGAAAGTTTGGAGGTTTGCATGGGATCTAGTATCCATGCATTTCCCTTTTACTTTTACATTATCACAGGGGGCCATTTGTGGAGCTGAAATAACTGCAAGTTGTGGCCTTTCACAGAGTGGAAATGCAAATAGTAAACACATCTCAAAAGATCCTCAGTGTACATGACGTACAAAGGGTCATTTAAGAGCACTAAATCCTCCAGTGCTCTGGCTTACATAGCTTCTCCTCCTCCAATTCCCTTTGTCATAGCCGTAGGTCCTGCACTAACACATCAGACCTTAAAATGTTGAGGTTTGTGCACACTGTACATTTCTATTTGACATTTACTAATTTCCCCCATGTTGAAAAGATTATTAATATGCAATGGTGCCAGCATACCAAAACAAACTCTTTTATGGAGGGCTCTAAATATCAGTTAAATCCATTGTAGTCTAAAAACTCTTGCTTCTTTGGTTGAGTGCTCAGCTAAAAAAAACCTACATTCTTTGATGACATACTAATTTTGGAGAGGTTTTTATATGAAACGATCTGGCAGATACTAAAATGCTACAGCAAATCATGATGTTGCAGCTCAGGTTTCTCCTATGTGAAACCCCAAACCCACCAAGTGAAATGTCAGCTGCATTCCTTGAAATCTGAAGTGATTCTCTGGCTCCAGAGAACAATCACTGCACTGTTATTTCTAGGGAGCTACTGCTTAAAAATGCCTGTGCCCATTTCTGGATGCTAGAGTGACAAATGTAAATGTATAGTGCCAGAGTCGCAGCCCCACTCCACTCGGGCAGCACAACGCAAGCAGAAACCGCCCACAGCTCCCCAGATGAGGGTTCCTCTGAGATCGGGGAGTCCCATCAGGAATACTTTGATCATAGCCTGTCCATGCCACACTCCAGCTATTCACAAGCGGGACAACAACGTCTTTGGGAATTTTGTCAACAGGCATTAGTTAGAGCAGCCCCTAAGCTGTTTTCACTAGAGCTGGGGTTGGGGTTGGCACAGAAGCCAAGCCATAGAAGAAAACCTGGCCAATAGTTCTGATGAGCTGAGGCAGCAGGGCCCAGAACTGGACCATGGCTGCCAAGTTCTGGGCAGCTCTGTATGTGATGTTGTATGCAAATTTAATGGGTTAATTTGAATATTTGAAAATAATTTGCAGGCAACCAAACATCAGCTTTAACAAAATTATGCACATTTAGTTCAGATGAAATGTGTCACTTTGACAGCCTTGGCCAATGCTAGGAAACGAGGCAAGCATAGAAGCCACTGGAAACAAACTTCCAAGGTACAACTATGTTTGGGCATATTTGCTGGTAACCGAGTTCTACCATGCCCTCATTGCACAGGGTAGACAACATGATTTTGCAGCAGCATTAGAGCAGTGTCATTGCCTCATGTAGAGGCGATCAGGTGAAGGTAAGCTATACCACAGGTTGCTAACATAGTTCTTTATACTTCCTTGCTAATGTGGATTCATATGCTAAGATTTTAAGCTCTTCAGGGCAGGACCTGTCTCTTTGTTCTGTATTTGTACAGAACCTAACACAATGGGGTGCTGGTCCATGCCTGGGGCTCTTCGGCACTACCACAATGCAAATAATATTGATTCTCTCGAAAGGAGAAACCAGGGCTGGGTGATTTCTTTGTTCAAAACATGTTTTCACCCCAAAAAATGCAGATTTGGATTGATTGAAACATTTCACAAGTTGTTGTGATTGAAAAAAGCTAAACAAAAATTTCAAAAAACTCAAAACATTTGAAACAAAATGTTTCAATTCAAAATGTCTTTGTTTTGAAATTTCTTTCAACTTTATTGTTAAAAACTATTAAAAATCCTCAAAATTGAAATAAAAAAAGTTTTATTTTAGGTAAAATGAAACATTTCATTTGACTTGAAATAGACACCACCCAACCCCTAACTTTTCCTCTAAGTTTGCTTTTGGGTCAACTTGAAGACGCTATTTTTTTTAATTGCCAATGAACTGAAGAATTAGATATTTAGCCCGCTCTAGAGAAACCTTACATACAACATAACCTGTGCTAAGTCAGTTCCTAACCATGGCCACCCGTCCCACTAGCTGGCAAACACTAGTGTGATTAGCAAAGCCGACACACACCTCCTTCAGTAGAAGTACTGTAGCAGTCTGAAATCACGCTATCGATGCTGCTATTGCATTTTGACTATAGATCTGCGAAGACTAACAGGGACAGAGACAGCTTTTTTTTTTTTAATCTGGGGTTCTGAAGTTAAAAAAAAATAAAATAGCTGTTTAATATTGCCGTAATGAGTAGTTTTGTACCATGACTAAATTTGCCCACTTTCAATAAAGTCATAAACAAGCTTCCAAACTCAGTGTTCCTTTTATTTATTAATGCAATTTAGCCCCCCAAAGCCCCCAGTTGTCTACACCCATGATTGAGCAACTTGTGAAGTATTTTTTTAATGAAATGGTTTTTTCCCCCCTCATTTGTTCCAGAGGATTCACTTTTCTCCATAAGCAGTAAAGTCACTGGGAAATCTTGTGAATACAATGGCACCACCTACCACCACGGGGAAATGTTTGTGGCAGAAGGGCTTTTTCAGAATAGACAACCCAACCAGTGTGCTCAGTGCAGCTGCTCAGTAAGTAAGAATTTCATTGAACCCTGCTGTATGCTTTGCTAGATTCTCTTTGCTAGGAGACCAGCCTATTGAACTTTAAATAATGTGTAGTAGTACCTGGGCAGTGGAGGCTGAAAGTCAGTAGTGAATAGTGACATATAAAAGCATACTCAGAGCCAATATGCAGCACCAGGTAAATGCCATTCTGCCTCCTACTCCAAACACAGTAGACGAAATTTACCCCGTTGTGAACACTCTGTACCTGACCCCACACTCCACACACTTAAAGGTGGCTGGTAGAATATTGCTACTTGGAGTATATATAGTTTTATGTCAACCGGACTATGGAAAGTTCAACACTGGCTCTCTAAAAGAGGCCAGAATTATTCTAAATTCAATAAAGATTCCTACAAGTGGGAACTGGATGGCTCATGGGTTTGACAATGGGCCAGAGAACTTTAACCCACTAGATCATCAATTCGAATTGCAGTGACCAGTAGTTGTCACCCTCCAGTGGCTGTTCAGAGCCACTCTGTGAATTGAAATAGGTTCAGTCTATCCACCTCTTCCTGGACAAACATTGGCCACATTTAGACCTTCATTTGATCAAGTCACCAGCAAATTTTGCATTAAGGAACCATCTCGGTAGCCATCTGGCCCAACAGGTCAAGTACTGAATGGACTTGGAGATTACACTACTGGGTCACTGCTCAATGCAGTCCCTCCAGGTCAAGGCTGAAACTCAGTGGCGGGGCAGTGAGTTGGGAGCTTGCACTATGACAATGCCCGTATTGTACCTATATAGGGGAGGGATAGCTCAGTGATTTGAGCATTGGCCTACTAAACCCAGGGTTGTGAGTTCAATCTTTGAGGGGGCCACTTAGGGATCTGGGGCAAAATCAGTACTTGGTCCTGCTAGTGAAGGCAGGGGGCTGGACTCGATGACCTTTCAGGGTCCCTTCCAGTTCTAGGAGATAGGATATCTCCAATATTTCATTTCATACCTCTCTTGTGGATTGAGTCTCCTGGTATGTTATTGTACAGAATATAGTGCTCAGGAAATGTGCCTGTTTTGTTAATGTTTTGTGTTTTTAGAAAGACAGTTAAGGAATACTCTTCCGTGCAATATCCTGTTTCTAGATGCTAGAGTGGCACATATGTAAATGTACAGAGCCAGATTCAAATCTGTATAAGGGCTTGTCTTCACTACTGGGGTACGTCGATCTAAGTTACACTACCCCAGCTACGTGAATAATGTAGCTGGAGTCGACATAGCTTAGGTCGACTTACTGCGGTGTCTACACCACGCTGCATCGACAGGAGGCGCTCTCCCGTCGACTTACCTTACTCTTCTCTGAAAGGTGGAGTACTGGATTTGACAGGAGAGAGCTCAGGTGTCGATTTAGCGGGTCTTCACTAGCCCTGCTAAATCGACACCCGCTGCATCGATTGCGGCAGCATGGATCTCCCTGGTAGTGAGCATAAGCCCAAAATGTAAATGCATAGTACCATATGAATCAATGCAGAAACCATTTCTTAATTGTCTTTGTTTTTAATGGCAGGAAGGGAACGTGTATTGTGGCCTGAAGACTTGCCCTAAATTAACATGCTCTTTCCCAGTTTCTGTTCCGGAGTCCTGCTGCCCAGTTTGCAGAGGTAAAATCCGCTATGTAAGCAAAAGGATACTGTCTGCAAGCATGCACATTCACCCTTTGCAGAGGGAGTTTGGAGATTAAACATTGTAGTTCAGCAGATGTATCATTTTTTGTTTTGTTTTCCTAAATTGAAACAAGCAATTAATACAGCAGAAGCAACGTTACGATAATGACTTGAAACAAGGATGCAAAGTATTAAAATATCTGCCACCTCTCCAGCAGATGAGCTTTGAAATATGTATATATCCTGCAAGTGCCCAGACTTGCTCTCATCATAAAAAGAAACAGTTCTTAGGATACGATCGATTCCCCCAAGTAAATTAAGTGCCAATCTACATTCAGGTATCTCTGGTATTGTATTAGCAAGTCTGTGTTAGATCCCAAAGCAGCCCTCACGTACACACAGAAAACTTAATTCTGGAGAAGGTCAAAATCCTAAATCTGGGCCTCCAAATTTTGCAGGTGAGGCCTTCTTTATAATTGTATCTTACCTATATATTTATACTGGGGCTTCTTTGTCACCCACCACTGGACTATCTAAGCATATGGACCAGATTGTTAAAGGTAAATAGCTGCCTAAAGATGCAAATTATCACATAGTGGGATTTTCAGAAGTGCCTAGGTGCCTAACTCCTATTGAAACCAATGGGAGTTAGGCACCTAGTGGGATTTTCAAAGTGCCTATCTGTGTTCTTAGGGGTCTACATATCTAAATATCTGACCCTTACAGCTCAGTATCGTTACTTGGAAAATTAAGGAGCATTTATATTATTTGTAGTTCATTTGTGCCTATAGTACTAGACACTGCACCAACATAGAGTGAGGGACAGATATTGCTTACAGTCTATACAGCCAAGAAGAGGGGGAGGGGAAACGGAGACTCAGACTGGTGAACACAGCAGGTCAGCCAGGGATAACTCAGGCACAGAATCCAGGTTTCCAGAGTTCCAGTCCAGTTCCCTACCCAGTAGGCCATGCTGCTGCTGCTGCTTCTTATATTTTTACCCACTAAACATAGAAACATTTTATTAGGCAACTTGGATTTGAAGCTTTCTGCACTCAGACAGGCAAAGGTGATGGTCCCTGTCTCATGGCAGGCGATCTAGCAGATTACCATTTAACATTCAATGTGTTGAGTGTGCAATAAAATAAACATTAGCTAATCATCTGGTTCCTGGTCTCTGTTCCCTGATAGCTATTTTTAGTTTCCTGGGATGGTAGCACATAATTTTACTTTATATGGTGACTTGGCTTTGGAACTGACCAGTTATAATTACAAAAAAATCAAACTGAGTTTCAAAGCACAAAGCATCATGCCTTAGTTACACAGTGCACTAGGATTATGTTAGAAAAGTCAGCCACCTAAAACAGGAGAGGACAGTCACTAAAGAGAAAAAAGCTAATCAGAAGTAGGAAATTCAGGGCAAGATGTAGGAGGCATTAGGCAAGATAGGTTATGCAGTAAAGGAGATTCAGAGCCTGCAATGGCCTTTGAAAAGTCTCTGCGTTTGTATGGTGGTTTTTAAAATGCTTCATTATTTATAATTCTTTCTTAAAAGTAACATTTCCTTTCTAACTACCCTTGTCCTTTTCAATCTGGTACATGCTGATTTATCCTTCCCCTGCGATTCTTATGAAGCACAAGCCTGAGCAATTCGTTTGCATGAAGATATATGAGCACAGCCTCAGGGAGAGGGATCTGTTAGTTAATTTCTACTCCCTGGAAGGACAAAGAATATTAGTAACTTATGAACGGAACACTTCGAAGCCCTCTGCATTTTCAATTAGTCCTTTTCCTACTGACTAGAGATGGCTCCAAGCCAAAAAGTCCAGCTCCTGATTTGGGGGGACATGCTGCTACCCTGGAGTTCTGTGGTGCAAATGTGGGGCCATTATAAAGCTTACATTGCATAACACATCTAATAAAAGACAGATCTAAACACCAAAGTTTGGGGGTGTTCAATTCCAAATCTATCTCCCCAGTAGATAACCCTCCCGCCCCATTCCTGTAAGTCATCATTACATGTCTTTAAACAATAAAATTTCTAAAGCCGTCTTTACAAAGACTTAAATGGAAGCTGAGATTTTTTTTATTTACATTTCTTAAATTCCCCCAGATCATGGTGTTGGGTTTTGAGGGGCCAAAGCCTTGCTCTGAAGTTCCTCTAGTTGCTTCTCTAAAGCATTTTAATTCCTCCTACATCACAATGCACAAATGGCAAGTGCCTCAGCCGGGGGCACCAGAACAGCGAGGGTGAGGGGGCCATGGCCCCATTACTTTTAAAAGTAGGAGGTCTATGCCTTCCCATTTTGACCTGCCTCAAGGGTGAGCAATGGGAGGGAAGGGGTGGAGAGGAGCAGGCAGTGGGTGGGGCCTCAGGGGGAAGAGGCAGAACAGGGGGGTGGGGCCAAGGTTTGGGTGCCAGTGCCCCCACCCCACTTCTAGGGAGTTTCCAGAGCTCCTGGTCTCAGCTAATATCTCTGATTCCACAAACATTCATCTAACACACAAGTCAACATTTCCTTCTAGTGTTTACTTCTTTGTTATGAGCATCCTAAGTGATATGAGCCCTATCCTGAGGACAGGGCTACCTACCTGTACTCCTTCTCCTGGCTGTTTGTCCACATCAGTGGTTTTCAGCTTTTTCTCATTTGCAGACCCCCTAAAAATCTTCAAATGGGGGTGTGGACCCCTTTGGAAATCTTAGTCTGCTGGCCCCCAGGTGTCCACGGACCACAGGTGAAAACCACTGGTTTATGTCAACAGCAGAGCTGTACAGTTCATGATGGTTGGCCGAGGTACAGGAATCTACTGGCTGACATTAGAGCCAGTCCTACTAGTTCTGTTTCTCATATAGCCTGATATATGTTACCGCACCTGGCTCCCTCCTGCCTGTGTGTCCAGGGAGTAATGCACTCAGAGTGGCTCTTGCATTTATTTTTTAAATAATTTCAATGACAGAGTGTTAAATTTTTTTAAAAAGAAACTCATTGGTTCAGAATAATATTTGGGAAATAAAATTTGGTAACTCAGTGTGTGAACTCAACAGTAAGCAAAAAGGGGAAAACAACCCTTAAGGACAATGCAACACAAAAATGTACTTCATTCTTTATATGATAAGTGTAGTTTAATATCGACTGAGGCTAATACTTCATAGCAGACTAGGAAAATGTCACATAGATTGTAAGCTCTTTGTACTCAGGGGCTGTCTTTTTGTTCCATGATGGATTTTTTGCCCAGAATGGCAGCTTTAGTGATACAAATAATACATATGTTTTGTAAAAGTAATGGGGTCTTAGTAAGATGTGACCTCACTACAGCTCTGCCTCAGTCTTTGGTCTCATTCGGCTGTGCAGAATTCTCATAGGCATTTCTAAGGCATTGCACAATTACTCCCATGACTGACTGTTTTACTTCACACACAGGAGATGGAGAATTATCATGGGAACATTCTGATGGGGATATCTTCCGGCAACCTGCCAACAGAGAAGCCGTAAGTGTGCCCTGTGTAATCAGAAAACCTGTTTTCCTGCTGAGCCATTCACACACACACACACACACACACACACACACACACAAGGGATGATTATCTAACTCTTCACCAGTTCTGCCTTGGCATGGGAATACCTGGCAGAAAAATTCATAGTAGTGACAATACCTTTTTCCATTGTATCTTCCTCTGTTTGCCTTTAGCTCTTTGTACCCAGCTGAAAATCTGATGATCTTAAAGAAATGACAGAGAAAAATTCTCTTGTGATAGATTGGAGCCCCCTCTCCCGGCCCCCTAGACAGAAACTTACACAGGATGCTCTGAAACAAATTTATTGCACTTCACATGTCAGCTCTCATGAACTAAAAGGTGCTGCTAGAGAGCTGAGGGCACTATAGAGTGAGCAATTAGGGCTCATGAGGGCAGAATGGGCATCTCTTACAAAAAGGATACTTTGTTTTCCATTTCCTAGGTAGTGATTTGTCACGCCTGCTCTTTCCATAATCCCTCTTTCCCACTTTGCTATCCCTTCTCCTCCTCATTCACTATAATATTCTACTTTTCCTTCTAAAATCATTTGTGGTTCATGGACTGTTGAGATGGCAGCCCGTGATCAGCTGATGTCTAACATCTCCCACAATGATTGTTAGAAAAAAATCCAGTGTCCTTTGTTTAAAAAAAAAGCTAGCACCAGAGGAAGGGGGGACGTTGTTTATTTTCTGTGGTTCACAGTGTATTTTGTTGCCGGACAAAAATTCTATATCCATTTCTGTGGCCCCTGACTTAGCAACAGCCAGGGACCCTGCCTGTAGAGCAGTACGAATGTTGGAAAATTCATCATTGCTAATACCAAGTAAATACTTAGCAATATATAGGTCGTATGTCATATGCTGTAGCTCTTTGGATACTATTATATCTGCCAGTATTCAATAGTTACAACAGTAGGACAAAATGCCACATTATAAGAAGATAGACCCATTCACTGGGTCTAACTCTTCATTGCTCTGCACCTTGTTTAACCAAGTACCTTGCAGTGCTCCAGAATGAGCACAGACTACCCCCCAACTAGAACAGTAGCATATTGCAGCTACCTTGTAAATAACCATAGCAGGTGCAGGGCAACGGAGACTCTAGCCCTGTGAGTGCATCGCCACTAGGACGCACATGTGACTGACCCAGGTGGTCTCTGGATCTTGTTACGGAGCTTTTACTTATTCTCTTGCACTTTACTGAGCAAATATGTGCAGCTAAGGCCTGATCCAAACCTAATGGAAAGATCCCCCATTGACTCCTGCAGACTTTGGATCAGATACTTGTGCATACCATACCTGAATAAATGGTTTGTCTGCCACGGGAGCATTGCTTTTCAATAGTCGTAACACTTATTCTCCAGGTATTGTGCCTGAGGTGTATGAATTCACTCCAGAGGCTAGATCAATCTATGGTGCAGCTTTATTGCCTCCAGGGCGAAGATTAACCATCACTAATAGTGTTAAGCAACAGAGGGTCCTGTGGCACCTTTGAGACTAACAGAAGTACTGGGAGCATAAGCTTTCGTGGGTAAGAACCTCACTTCTTCAGATGCAAGACTAATAGTGTTGATTTTTATTACAAAATTTGGAGAGAGCACATGGAATTTTTAAGCATTTGGAGCACAAAATAAATACACGCCCGTGGTCTATGGTAAGTCTTAGGGTTGCTCAAAATAAAATAGTAATCTTACAAGGAAGTTAAACAATCTTCAGTCCTGCCTTTGGGTATTTTTGGAAAAAATCCTCCAAAATAACCATGGTGCTTTCTTTTGAAAAACAGAGAGTCACCACATAGGCTATTTTCACCTACAGATCTCTCAAGGTTTCCCAGCTGATGGACTTAGAGCTAGATTCCAACAAGGTGCTGCTCACCCGGAGCAACAGTGGTTGACTCTGGCCTTATGAGTGTCTGTGACTCTGGCTCTACACTGAAGTGAGAAGCAGGAGGGCAGGCAGCATCTGATCATTACACATATTGCACTAGACTTGGTCCATATTCAGGGATGCTGTAAAAAGTAGTTTGGATGCAGAAGGCTATAATGCCTGGGGTCAAATACCTACAGTTTAACCCAGGTTAATCTCAAGCACCTGCATGAGTCTCTTTCCAGCAAGAAAGAAGCGAATCTTGAGATTTAGCACCTCACTGACATCAGTGGCAAAACTCACATTGACTGCACAGGGAGCCTTAATGCAGACAGTTTACACACAAAGTTCAGCTCTCCAATTGCTTCACTGAATGAAACATTTACATTCTTGTTCCTTCTGTTTCCACACAGAGGCATTCATACCATCGCTCCCATTACGACCTGTCCCCCAGCTCCACTAGACAGGTGGTCAACATTCCAAGATTTTCCAGTGGCAGGAGTAACCGTGGAGTCCTACCTGACCCCCAGCAAGCTTCAGGAACTATAGTACAGATCGTCATTAACAACAAGCATAAGCACGGACGAGGTAATTAGAAGTCCTTTTAGCAATACTACTCAGAGTCGGGTCTCAGCCATTTATAGCTCTCAAAGAATTCTTAAAAAGAACAGGAGTACTTGTGGCACCTTAGAGACTAACACATTTATTTGAGCATAAGCTTTCGTGGGCTACATCCCACTTCTTCGGATGCATAGAATGGAACATATATTGAATTCTTAGTACATAAAGGGGGAGACCCTTTGCAAATGACTGAACCCTGCAAGTCAGAAAGTAAAAGTACAGTAAGAGAGCAAAGATATAACATCAGGAGAGTTATCTTGGCTGAGGGCAATTGTGTCTGAGCACATAGAGGATGCTGCACTTGCCCATGCATAGGCAATGCATAGGCTCTACGACATTACTTGCTAAAGCACTTGGAGAATCTGTATTACATGAAACTATATAAAGACCACATTATTCTGTTGGGACTAGGAAGGCGAGCAGCTGACACCACTGTTGATGCCTTTGGATCTGTTGCTAAATTCACACACCGATTGGTCTAGCATCCAGAGAATGGAAAAGTCTGCTTTTGGTTATTTTCTTCATGCTTTCTCCTATTTGGTAACCTGTGTGAATGCAAGTGGCACATGTTTAAGCTACCTCAGAAATCTCAGGCTACAAAGCCCTACTATGTTACCACTAGGTTCGCTACTGCCAAGACTTACTGAGCCATCTCCTTGGTAGAAAATATCCCACTTATGAGCAAAGAGGAACTTCCCCCTTTACATCTGTGTTGAACAAAGCTGTTATCTAGTGTTCAGGCCAGCAGTTTCATCTCCCTCCCCCCCTTCAATTTTTATTCTGTTTTTCAGAGATCAATACAATACTTCATATCAAAGATATATGTAAAACAAAGCCCTGAGAGCTAGAGGCATTCCAGTAACATAACATAATGTCTTTAAGCCTCTGAGAGCCTTACAGGACTTATTACATTATGGGAACATTAGGACCTCAAGCTCATATGGAAAACCTTTATAGAAGCATGACTAAGCCATGTTCCTCAAGGATTATACTAAAAAAAGAGGGATGGGGGGGAATAACCAAATCCCCAATTTAAAAGGGGCAGCAGATTTTATGTCCTGGCAAAAGGGCATGATGCTGCAAGGTGCTGAGTGCACTCAATTCCTATATATTTCAACAGAGCTACTTGTGTAGCAGGTAAGTATTATTTAAGTGAATAATGGTCTGCAGGATCAGGCCCAAATAGTAATAGAAGAACTAGCTATAGAAGAGCAACTATATACAAAACCCAGAGTAGCACACACTCAGGAATGTCACACAAAGAGTTAAAAGCCTTTGTGTTATAGCCAACTAATCTTTTAAGGTATTAACTAACAGAAGGAATGTTCGCCATAGGATCTTTATTATCCACCTGAACAACCATGAAAACACATTCAGATCATGCCAGTGTTTTATGCTGAAACTAGGAACAGGAATCTCCACTCAATGCAATATCTCTGACATCCAGTTCACACATGAAGACATCATCAAAGCAATTTCTAACTGATTTGTTTCAGCAAATAAAAAGCAGACAAATGAACAGCACATTTCTCTGGGCCGTTTAGTATCAGTGATAGCTTTAGGAGCTTGCTGCCCAGAGAGAGTCTAAGAGGTCTCTGTAATGGAAATTAGAATGGTGACCATGTCCTCTCTTTTGTTCGCTATAATTAGAATATTATTAATTAATGCACATGCTTCCAGAGATACATTTTATAAATCTAAAAATAAACAAAATAGTTATACTGACATGCAGATTTGATGCCATTATATGGATACAGAATTACATTTCTATGCAGACAGTGGTTAAAGCAGGCTATTTGGGAGCTAGGGTTCTATTTTCACAGTGACTGCAGACTTCGGTCACTTAGGTTAAATAATTAATTAGTCCATTCTGTGCCTCCATTTATCCATCTGCAAAATTGGGATAATGTATCTATAGTCTACATATCCCTGACTACAGTACAGAGAAGTTGTGAGGTTTAATTTATGTTTGTAAAGCTTTTGGAGCTCTCTGGCAGGAAAAAAAAAGTATAAATATACTACTAAAGCATGTAAGAAGGTTAATTATAACAATAGAGTAACTGATCCCGTTTTATGTAAATTTTCCTTTTTTTCCTCATCATTCTGTTTTGTATACAGAGAACACTTCATTTGCTTTTATGAGAGAAAAACTGTTTCCCCTTCTAAAATGAAAACAGCTCTTAAGAAAGAGTTTAAAAAGTAATAAATTATTAAACCAAATGATGGTATAACACCCATGAAAGACAATACATTATGAAGAACACCCATCATAAATCTTGGTAACTTAGTAACACAAAAGCCAGTTGCTCACATCTGTTACCAGTTAGATGTAAATTTAAGATTACAGATAAAAATTAAATTGCTTTCGAAAGTTACAGGCAAAAGAGGAACATATTTTACAAATAAAAGCATTAATAAAAATGATGGCATATTGGAAGAATTGGAAATATTTACAGCATATCCAAGCTTGATTTTAATTGCTTTTTGAAATCAAACAGTGCCCTCTCTTTCACCTTTTTTGGTTAGTCTGCATTTTTCAGTGTGTTTATGAAATGTTTAAAGAAGCAAGGTTCATAGGGCAAATTCAGCCTTGGTGTAAACTGGCGCTACTCCCATTAACTTCAGTGCGAACCGAGTCTGCTTTTGCCAGCTGTTAATTTGTGCAGTGTCCTTTTGCCTGCTGTACTTCCCTGCCTTGCAGGGGTGTAGTGAGGATAGATCCATTAAAGATGGAGGCATTCAGATATTGGTGTAATGGGTGTCCTTAGATACATTTCAATATCATCTGCAGCCTTTCAATTTAAAGCCTCCTTTTGTTTTTTGAAATTACAAATACCAAGTCTACAAACACCCAAAGTATATTTGGGAAAAAATATGGAAGTGATCAAATTCCATCTTCTAATCATCTCCTCCTTTGCTCTGTCTGTGTCATCTAGTGGAGGGTCCCTCTGGAAAGTAGCAAAGTGTATGGGTGGCAACAACTCACCCAGCTGCTAGCTTGAATAAACAGTGTTCACCCACTGACAAGAGAAGCTGTGCAGGAGGTTCAGTAGGAAATGCCGTGATGCTGGGAACTAGAGTATTGTTCTGGTTGCAGGCTGAAATTCTGGGGCAGGAGCCGGTTCGTAGGGGTGGGGGGAGCTAAGATCATAAAAGCCAACTGGTGGGAGTAAATGGTCCCCAACAAAAATGGGCACATGCTGGAGGAGAGTGGTCAAATTCTGCACTCCATCTCACTCGCTGAAATACCAGGGCACCCTCACGGATAAGTGAGGCCAGAATTTAGACCAAATTGCACAGAAAAAGGTGATCAAAGGCTCAATCCTGTTCCGTTTGAAGTAAATGACAAAACTTATCAATGGGAGTAGGGCTGGGCCAGAAATCACTAGTGAAAAATACACTTCCAAGCAGAGGAGCGTCCTTTAGTCATGAATGAAACATTGCCTCAAACCAGTGTGAATGCACTAAGGCAGAGGTTGTAGTCCAACTATAGATCTGTTGGGGCCTTACCATACAATGAATGTTCATTTTCTTCCTCTCTCCTTTTCTGTTATAGTCTGTGTTTCAAATGGAAAAACATACTCACATGGTGAATCATGGCATCCTAATCTCCGGGCCTTTGGAATCGTAGAATGTGTGTTGTGTACCTGCAACATCACCAAACAAGAATGTAAGAAAATTCATTGTCCGGATCAATATCCCTGCAAATCCCCTCAGAAAATAGAAGGAAAATGCTGTAAAGTCTGTCCAGGTAAAACGAAGAATAGATCACAGACTGCCTTTTTGCTATGGATTTTAAGGGGTCTTTTGATCATAATGATGAAATGAGCAACTTTATATCTGTTGCTATATTTTTCTAGAGGGAAATCTGGGCACGATAATAGATCTAGCACCCAATCTTGCAAGCCATCTCATTCATTTCATTTCCACAGGTAAAGGGCACCGAGGACTGGGCCAACCTTCCGGTCTCTTTTTCTTCTCTCTAGCATTCGTGTGACTTTTGGACATCTATTTCAGAAGAGTGTATCCCCCCTCCCCACCAACTAGAGATTCATTATCTCCCCGACAATAATTCAAGGAGCATCTCTCATTCTCCCATCCCTTCCCATTTACAATCCTCGCAGAGCTTTCCATTTGTTTTCTAGCTTAGGATATTTACACTACTGTACTAAAATAAAGCTTTTGTTTTGCAAAACATGGCAGTAGTTTTAAAAGTTTTGGTCATAACATTATTTGTGCTAATAATGGAACTGGGTCCTTAGAATAAGCACTAATGCTATGACAGCTTATCATAGCATTATGGGAAAAATCTAATCACTTGATTAGCTTGTTGTAGAATATTAGTAAAAATGTGTAAAGAAAAACAAACTACACCTCTACCCTGATATAACGCGACCCGATATAACACGAATTCGGAGATAACGTGGTAAAGCAGTGCTCCGGGGGGGCGGGGCTGCGCACTCTGGTGGATCAAAGCAAGTTCGATATAATGCGGTAAGATTTTTTGGCTCCTGAGGACAGCGTTGTATTGGGGTAGAGGTATACTTAGAAATTTGCTAACCCCTCTTATAATATTTTGCCAGGTGCCTAACTCCCATCTAAAAAACGAGGAGTCCTTGTGGCACCTTAGAGACTAAAAAATGTATTTGGGCATAAGCTAGAACCCACTTCCATCAGATGCATGGAGTGGAAAATACAGGAGCAGGTATAAATACATGAAAAGCTGTGATTTGCCTTACCAAGTGTGAGGTCAGTCTAATGAGACAATTCAAATGACAGCAGGATACCAAGGGAGGAAAAATAACTTTTGAAGTAGTAATGAGTGGCCCATTTCAAGGACTCCTCGTTGACTTTGCTGATACAGACTAACACGGCTACCACTCTGAAACTTAACTCCCATCTGTACCTTTAAAATTTTCCCACAACACGTTTAGCCCCTTTTTGTGTTTAGTTCTGTGATGCACTGGCAGAAACGTTCTGAGAAAACGAGTGTCAGAGCCACATGCATACGTCACTTACAAAGCACCTGCTAGCAATGTGTTATTAGAAGGGAGCCTGGTTCAGTGCACTAGGAGACAGGAGACCTAGATTCAAGTCCCAGCTGTGTCCCTGACTCCTGTGATGTAAGGAGACTCAATTAACTACCCTGTGTCTCAATTGTCTTTGATGATACTTTACTTCACAGTGGGGTTGTCAGGCTTAATTCAATTAATAAGTAAAGAAGTGAGAGCCTGACATTTAGACATGCTGAGCATCCACAAATCCTCTTGAAGTCAATGGAAGATGAGGGCACCCAGAAAAATCTGTCTAGGAACCTGGGATGGAAATGCTCTAGAAGTAAAGAATTTGTTATCTAGATTTCAGATCAGTCTCTAACTCCTGAAGTTCACCCACAGCTATCAAAAAAAAAAAGCAGGATCTTTTCTTGAAGTCTGACTTGCGTGTTAAGATAAAACATACTAAATAAAAATCCAAATTGTTTTATTGTTACCACGTCTGAGCATTAAAAAGGGAGAGCAAAAACAGAATTTCACTAAGAAATCTGGACTCCGCTGGAGAAGGACTTGAAAGACCTCTTCAGAGGACCTCTCTACAATTAAGCTAAACTTGTTGGGCAGCACGAATCTAGTAAGTTCCAAGGAACATTAAAGCTGTATCATGTTTTGCTTACAGAAGAGATGACAAGTCAGAGCTTTGACAGCAAAGATTACTTTTGTGGTGAAGAGATGCTTCCTGTCTATGAATCTGTTTTCACGGAGGAAGGAGAAACCATTAGAAAAATCGCAGTGGAAACAGAAAAGCCACCTCAAATAGAAATACACGTGTGGACAATTAGGAAAGGTAAGTGGATCAAGTTATCTTAAAATAGTGCTTTTTTCTTTTTATAGCCTCAGGAAAGATTTACAAATTCTTGCCACTCAGGACTTTATAACCATTCCAATTCTTTACATTAGGGCATTTGGCACTTCCCTGGTAGTAGAGATAGAACTCCAGTCCTCCTACAACAAAAGCACAAATTGCTAATGCTTGTGCCAAACTCCCTTGTTGTTAGCAGTCTGGGGTCTATCATATGCACTTGAGCAGTTCTGATTTTGACCAATAGAGGGAAGTAGCACACACTAGCCAGTTCGATGCCACCATCCTATTGGGGGTGGGGTGGGAGGGAGACTGTGGTGCATCAAGGGAGATGTAGGGCAACCAGTGAGCCTGGCCTATTGAGGGGAACAGGAGCACACAGCTCCCAAATTACAGCTCCCATGAAGCACTATAGCCATAGGTGCTGGGGGTGCTGCCGCACCCCCTGGCTTGAAGTAGTTTCCATTACAGACGTCCCCCAGGTTATGCAAACGTGACTTATGCAAATCCGCACTTACGGAAAAAGTTCCATAAGCTAGAAATAGGAATTGTATTTTTTTTTTTTGGCGTAATGGTCGGGTATACGTATCCGACTTGTGCAAAATTTGAGTTACGGAAGGCATTCCAGAACGGAACGCTTGCGTAAGTCGGGGAGTGTCTGTATATACAGGGTTTACAGTTTGGTTCAATGGCTCTCAGCACCCCCACGATACAAACTGTTCCAGCACCCCTGACCATAGCGGTGCTGCAGAATCAAAATTCTTCAGGTTTTGACCAAAATATTTTTTATTCTGATTTTTCACAGAAAACTTGTTTTCTGTGGAAGGGAAAAGAATTTATGTTATGACCAGCTCTAGTCTTAACCCTGAGCACAGACTTCCAGTCCCTTCAATTGTCCAAACTCCTGATTATCTGAAGGGTTTAGATGTTTCTACCAGTTCAGATAATCAGTGTTGTATGTACTGCAAATGAATAAAGCCTGAGCTTTTACTTTAGTTAATTGACTGGTCTCCTCGGTTTTACAGATCTAGAAGCTAGATCTCAAACAAATGCCAAACTTCCCTACAGTTCATGGAATCTATGTTGAATCTGAACTTGTGTAATATTGCTATGTACTATAAGAGAGTATGTGTTTCACTATGTATCCTAAGAAAGTGTATTATCTCTGAGGATGCTACATTTCAAAGTGGGCAAAGTGATTCCTTACTGAAAGAAAAAACCCTTAAGGAATCTTTGGGAAGAGTGGAGTTACATAATGTATTTTTAATTCAACTGAAATAATATACAAATGGGGACCCAAAAAGGGAAATGCCAAAAGTGTGGGTGTAAGTAGATCCGTTATTCAGTATATAAAGAGAGGCAATGTTATTTTTCTCTTCATCTCCTACAACCAACTCTCTCTCTTTCCCTTAAGAATTATGTTGGCTCATCTCCTACAACCAACTCTCTCTTTCCCTTAAGAATGATGTTGGCTATCTTCTCAAAGGCCCTTTACATGAAGGCATTTACTAAGCAATGACACTGTCTCAGAATGCCTTAGTCCAAATGCTAAATATGAAAGTAGCTTTACTTTCACTTGTTTGTAGTCTCTCTTTATCTGGGAATGTCGTCACACAGTCAGAGCAAGCAAATAGGCAGACACAGGAGTCAAGGCTACTGGGTTCCAGTCCTGACTCAGCCACTGACTCACACAGCGTGACCTCTGGCAAATCATTCAGTCTTCTTGTACTTCACTTTCACAGATCTGTAAAGTTAGGATATAGATTTACTTAGTTTACTGGGGCAATGCTAGGCTTGTTTACAGATTGCTTTGAGACCAGTGTCAACTTAGTGGTTTTAGTCTCTACCTTTAAAAAAAAAAGCTTCATAAGTTGAGATCATATTAAAGGGCAAACTACACTTAAAGTTACACAGATCATGATCCATGAACAGCCCTCTGAAGGGCTGCTGGTTAATACGGGGTCCTACTGACCTATGCTCCCAGTAGGGCACAAACCCTTCTGGTGGTTTGGCAGGAGCATTTTCTGCTGGCTGCCTGCAGTTAGGCAAAAGACAATGTCCAATGTCAGCATGACAAACTGCTTTCCTCCAAGGCACTGGGATTTTGGCCTCTGCTCTGATCCTCTCTCATTCATGCCAGGGAAGGCTGAAGCTATGTGGGCAAAGGAGGAACTAACTCTCAGATCTTGGTAATACTGTCTACCGTCATAAAACCACAAAAGAAAAATATTGATGGAGCACATGGAATCGGTTAAAACATTATTGGTAAAAACAATTTCACAATGTGGCTCAACATGCTAGTAATTCTTCACACAATCACAACACCACAACAAGCTCAGAGCAGAGGAGCTTGTTTCAACTACATGCTCTTACTGCTTTGCTACAGGGATTCTACGTCACTTCCACACTGAGACGATATCCAAAAGCGAATTTGAACAACTTCCCTACTTCAGGCAGATAACAAGGACAACACTGAGTAAGTAAAAGTCTTGTCTTCTTAGGCTCCACTTTTCTATATAACCTCAGCCCTGAAACGTGCCCTGCATTACTCCTCCAACTGAAATAAATGTGCTACTTTCCCACCAACATCTGGAATCAATAATTTATGAGTATCAAATAAAATAATCAGAATGCAACATATGATTAGAGGGTTATATTCACATAAATCATATGTAAAAGATGCCTTTCCAAAGTCCCTAGCAACACCTTGGATTATTAAAAACTGACTGTTTAAAAAACCCAAATTCATTTTTCACCACTAGTACAATTTATATTTCACCCAGCTTGGGCTACAGAACTTGGCCTCCCAATATCACTTGTTTATGGTCAGTTTTAATTCTCCAGTTCTTCTGCACTAGCAAGTTGCTGTTATGCTTGGACTTCCACTATTGCAGGGCAACAGCGGCTGTTGAAAGAATTACTCTTGAAAGTATGCTGCAATTACAAGCCAGGGCCTTCCCAGCTACAAACAAAAGTCGTCCCCACCCCCTCCCCCAATCAGAATCTGGCCCTTCATATTCTTTTAATGTAGTTTTTTTGTGTGGAATGTATTAAGTGATTGAGATATTTTCAAACCTTCCAAAGGAAAATATTTTAATTCTTCCTATCAACAATTTGAATGCGTTTGTCTGGCTAGTGCTTGCAAGTGACTCTAAAGCTCTCTGCATTCTGTCTAAGTCAGTGTCTCTCTGCTTTGTGTTTTTGTTTTCAGGCCAGTGGAAAATATTTAGCGAGGGAGAAGCTCAGATCAGCCAAATGTGTGAAAGCAGAGTGTGCAGGACTGAGCTGGAGGATTTGGTAAAGGTTTTGTACCTTGAAAAGTCTGAAAAGGGTCACTGTTAAGGGAGACAGCACTGGAGGGAGAAAACAAGAAAACTTATGAAAACGTGGATCTGCAGCTGGACTGCAGGCTTATTTTGCTTAAGTCAACAGTTGCCCTAAAAACCAAAACTATAATGCAGTAATTATTCACATCATGCACAGCAAACTTGCTGCTTTATGTGTAGTGGTTTGTGTCAACCATTTAAATATCTCCTAGGAGGCTCTGTATTGGTGGGGGGGGAGGGGAAAGGGAGACTGTAGTTCCTTGTAAAGTTGCAAAGTTAAAAAAGAAAACAGAATTAAAAAAAAATACTTGGCATGTTATTCAAACTAATGAAATGAAGGACACCTAATAACTGTGCAGGAGCTATGGAGAGCATTATTTCCTGTGCTGAGTTTATACCACTTCTGGTGTCGAAATGACTCATGTTTTTCTAAGGGGGGGGGGGAGAATACAAGCGATACAGTACTTGTGTTTGAGCCATAAAATCCAGATTTAAATGAAAACTCCCAACGAGTCTACTGCTTTTGGGATGATGTCTTGCAGTTGAACAAACTCTGAGTAAATAAACAAACCAGAAGGTGTTAGTGGGAATTACTGCATTTATGTAGCAATTTGAGAAAACGTTCAACTTTTAAGTGGTTTTCACTTGGTTTCCATTATCCACTTCTCTACATGAAATATCAGCTCCCTCATGCTGCCCCAATACTGCATTCTCGTGGGCCCTGTTAACACATAGCCTCGGTCAATAAACTCCCTTTACAAAGTAACATAGCAGGAGAATGCAAAATACTTGAATCATTTATGAAAATTCCTATAGGGTTAAACCCACAGTGATTAATAACTCATTAAATGTCTTGTGATATCACTTAATTTATTAATGGTAATTGTCGCAATAAGAGTGTTCTGCGTGGTTCTAATTGGTGGCCTCTCAAGTCCCAGCAAACTAATAAGCATAACTTCAAGGACAACTTTCTCCAATGGCAAACTAATGAGCACTTATATCTAGCCACTAAGTTAGTGCAGCATCAGCAGGACCATTATCTTCATGCAAAAAGAAATCTAAGGCACTCAGTGTGATTTGCAGTTCACAGGTGAACGATAGTGTCTGTCCAGTGTCTGCCTTCAGAAAAGAGTTCTGTTCTGATATACAAGGCCATTACTTTGAAAACATGGCTTTCTCTGAGGAAATCCTGCCACACCAGCTCATGGACACCATCTTAGATTCACTCCTGAGGTGCAAGTTGATTGTGGCTGCTTTCCCTCCATTTTCTATTTCAGAAGCATACGGGAACATTTCCTATCGTGATTGAACAGCAATGAAGTTCTAAAAAAAGTGGCCTCAGGCCAGGCACTTGGTCCTCAAAGGGAGTGAAATAAATGGCGGTGGCCAGAATTTGGAGGTCCCCATGGGACTTTGCAAAACTTGTGCTCTCTGCTCCGCCCTGCATTTCCAGTGATGGTACTCTAGGTCTTCATCAGGGGTATGTGCATCTTAACAAAGAGGTTAAGGGGTCTGGATGTTCAGTGCTTAATGCCAGTGGCCCAACTCAGGCTCCAGTAGAAGAAATATTAAACCTTTTAGTAGGGCCTTGTTCACAATAGCGATCTCTTTGCACCTCTCCCTGCTAGCAGCTGTGGTTGTAAGAGGCAACCCCCTTTCACTGCTTTCAGTGGCGCAGGATCCATCCCTGCCAGGGTTTCTTGCAATAGCCTGGAGGAGTATATGGAAAGGGTAATCGACTAAGAGCAAGGAGAGAATGAGAGTGGAGAGATGGGAATGTGATAGGGAAGAAGAGGGAGACTAAGAGGATAAGGATGAGAAGAAAACCCAGGATTTCCTACACAGAAAATCTTCATGGTTCTGCCTGCAAAGAGCAAGCTATCCGCCATGCCAGGATAGAGAACAGATTTTTTAGTGCACTTCCTTCTCTGACAGTGCCCAAAGTGGCCTAAAATACATAACAAGATAGTGTGCCAGAAGGGAGCTCCTTCAGCAGCCAGTTTGATTGGCAAGAACAAAAGAATCCTTGTGATGGCAGTAAAATCATTTAGAAACCCGACAAGGCACTGACACCAAAATATAAATACACGGTCCTATAAATGATGCGAGGGCAGTTCTCATAAGAGAGTAAGTTAACTCCAGTGTCCATGCCAAATTCAGCAATGAGACTTCGCCTCTCTAAATTCTTTTGTGTTTAAAATGGGTGTCTTGTTCACCTCCTGTCCAAAATTGTGGTGTAGTGCGCCTGTGCACTGTTAAACAGCTGTGTGTTCCACACCAGAAGTGGGTGCCATGCAGTGTAGTTGTGGGAGCAGCCATTTGTAACACACTTTGGGATCCTTTGGGTTGGAAGGCACTGCAGAAATGTAACATTTATTATAAATCCACTAATAATACATGTATTAACATGAACATACCTCTGATGAAGACATAGTGGAAGGCATCCTGAGGCATCATAGTATTCTGGTTGGCTGACAAACACGTGGCTATGTTTGGCTCACCTCTTGGTACAGTATGTTTGTAGCAGTAGCTGATTGAACGAAGATTATGTGAAAAGTGTACAGTGTTTGTATTGTTTTTTTGGAAGACAAACAGTCTTGTGTTTGTGACAGAACAAGTGGGGTTCAAATTGTGTATTTATTTGTATAATAAACACTTATGAAAAACAAAAATATAAGCACCATTTAGTAAATGAAGTTCTGCATTTTTACAGTCTCTGGTCATTTAAGACAATAAAATACACAATATCATGTTTTTCACTGTCTTCACAGGACATATGCCTGATGTGGTACTTATTTATGTACTTGCTCTATCACTTTGACCTGGTTTTATAAATTAATAAACTCTGCAGTTGTTCAAAACAAGAAGTCCTCAGTGATGTGATATGTGAATTAAAGAAATAAATATTAGACCTATTTGCAATTCTGCTGCTATTATCCCTTTAACCCAAATCAGCAGGCTTGGACAACAGAGTAAACCCTGATCTGCAACCTAGCTCATGGGAGTGTGTCTTCAGCCGCAAGAGCTGCGAGTACACTTTGCCAGTGAAAGTAAGTTAAGTTCTGATTCAAAAACTGTGTCCACAGCAAGATATGAATCAGGGCCTAAAGCCCTGCCTTATTTTATTCATCTAGCCCATAATCATATGCTTCAGTGTAAGCATGTGCCTACTTAAGCCCCCTGAATTTGATGGGACTTAAGCATGTTCTTAAGCCAGTGGTGAGCAACCTGTGGCCTGCACACAGCCCATCAGGGTAATCTGCTGGTGGGCCACAAGACAGTTTGTTTACATTGACCGTCTGCAGGCACGGCCGCCCGCAGCTCCCAGTGGCTGCGATTCACTGTTCCTGGCCAATGGGAGCTGCAGGAAGCGGTATGGACCCCAGGGACGTGCTGGCCACTGCTTCCTGCAGCTCCCATTGGCCAGGAATGGCTGATCAGCCACTGGGAGCTGCGGGCAGCCGTGCCTGTGGATGGTCAATGTAAACTGTCTTGTGGCCCACCAGTGGATTACCCTGATGGGCTGCATAAGGGCTTTGATGAATCAGGGCCTTAGGGAGAAGCTGGGGTTTAGAGACCTTAGTCCACCCATATATGGGCGAGATCAGAATGTGCAAAGCACGCACACGAGACTCCCAGTGAAATCAGCAGGAGCCCTGTATGTTCCTCTCAGGGCACCATTTAGCCCTAGTTTGTCAGCACTGGTAGAATGTTGCTGTCCTTTTAGTTCTTAAGGGGCCAGTCCCACTCTCATTTAAGTCAATGGAAAACCTCTTTCAAGCAGGGGTGGCACGTTTGTATAATTTTTGGTGGTGCCCAGAACAGGTGCAAGTCCTGCCCCCCCCCACCACACCTGCCTTGTAAGCCGATATATATATTTTTAAAATATAAAAATGTGAGGGCTCTGCAGTGGGGCTGGTGTTGAGGGGTTTGGGAGGGGCTCAGGGGTGAGAGTTGTTGGGTGGGACCGGGGATGAGGGGCTCATGATACAGGAGGGGGCAGAGGGTTGGGGTGCGGTGGGTGTGGGCTCTGGGGTGGGGCAGGGCTGGAGATGAGGAGTTAGGGGTGCAAGCAGGCTGCCCTGGGGCTGGGGCCAGAGACAAGGACTCCCCCAGCCCTCTCCCCGCTGGCAGCAGCAAGTTCTGTGGCAGCAGCAAGCTCTGGGAGGGTCCCCCCTCCCCTGGCAGCACTCACCTCACACCACTGTCACTGCACATGCTCCTAGGGCCCCTCTCAGGACCAGGAAGCCCCCTCGCCTCCCCCGTGGTGGGTAGTGGGGGGGAGGGGAAACACCGCCTCCTCCCCTGTTGCTGCCCCTCACTGTAGCCCCACTGGGGGTGGGGCTGCCCATTGCCCAGCATGTGGCAGAAGCAGGGACTGTGGGTGGGGGGAGGCCCCTTTGCTGGTGGAGGGTCCTGCCACAAAAGGGAAGGGTCAGGGTCAGCCTGCCTTGGCACTAGTCGACAGAGGGGGGCACTAGGACCCTGTGGCGGCAGTTGATGCTGGGAGCCACAGAGTGGAGCTGCAGGGAGGCTTGTGGCAGGGATGCTCTGGAGCAGGCGTGTGGGGGCAGCAAGTGGGGGGCTGGGGGATATTCAGGGGCAGCAGGTGGGACCAGGGGAGAGACCCGGCCCCAAACATGGGTGAAGCGAGGCCCCCAGACCCGGAATATTGCGGGAGCCCGGGCACCACAGGTCCATATAACTCGCCATCCCTGCTTTCATGTGGAGCAAAATCAAGCCTAAAAACAGTGAAATCCTGATTTTCAAGGAAGCTGGGCATCCACAGTTCACATCAACTTTCATTGGAGTCCTGGTTGCTTGGTACCTCCCAAAAAAACAAACCAAACCAAACCAAAAGACTAAAAACCTGTAGCAGCACAGTTGGAAGTGGATCTGACACAGCTCTGGAATATCTCCCCCCCCCCACGAGAAAATGCTTCAACAGAAGCCTCTGTACAGTATAAATGATCACTTATGAGCTACTGTCCCATCTAACTAAATCCATTTGCGAGAGTAAAGGAAGAGATTTAAGAGCCACTACTGACTGCACAGGTTTCCTCATGAATAGATGGTATATATCATAGAACTGGAAGGGATCTCAAGAGGTCTTCTAGTCCAGTCCCCTGCACTCATGGCAGGATTAAGTATTACTAGACCATCCCTAATAGGTGTTTATCATTGGTAATTTTAAGAGCAGGTAAGATAGAGACTCCACAACCTCCATAGGTAATTACAGTGCTTAACCACCCTGACAGTTAAGAAGTTTTTCCTAATGTCTGACCTAAACCTCCCTTGCTTCAATTTAAGCCCACTGCTTCTTGTCCTATCCTCAGAGGTTAACAAGAACGATTTTTCTCCCTCCTCCTTGTAACAAACTTTTACGTACTTGGAAACTATCATTATGTCCTCCCTCAGTCTCTTCTCCAGACTAAAAAAACCCCAATTTTTTCATTCATCCCTGATAGGTCATGTTTTCTAGACCTTTAATCATTTCTGTCGTTCTCTGGACATCCTCCAATTTGTCCACATCTTGTCAGAAATGGGGCACCCAGAACGGGACACAATATTCCAGCTGAGGCCTAATCAGCACGGAACAGAATGGAAGAATTACTTCTTGTGTCTTGCTTATAGCACTCCTGCTAATACATCCCAGAATGATGTTTGCCTTTTTTTGCAACAGCATTACATTGTTGACTCATATTTAGCTTGTGATCCACTATGACCCCGAGATTTTCTTTCTGCAGTACTCCTTCCTAGGCAGTCATTTCCCATTTTATATGTGTACAACTGATTTTTCCTTCCCAAGTGTAGTACTTTGCATTTGTCCTTATTGAATTTCATCCTATTCACTTCAGACCATTTCTCCAATTTATCCAGATCATTTTGAATTTTAATCCTGTCCTCCAACAGACTTGCAACTCTTCCCAGCTTGGTATGATTTGTAAACTTCATAAGTGTACTCTCTATACCATTATCTAAATCATTGAACAGAACTAGACCCAGAACAATCCCTGCAGGATCCCACTAGATAGGCCCTTTCAGCTTGACTGCAAGCCACTGATAACTACTCTGGGAACGGTTTTCCAACCAGTTATTCATCCACCTTATAGTAGCTCCATCTAGGTTGTATTTCCCTAGTTTCACTTGACCTTCTCATAAGCGAACAGTACCAAAAGCCTTACTAAAGTCAAGAGATACCACATCTACCGGTTCTCCCTATGTGACATTTGTCCATGCTGACTGTTACTTATCACATTATCATCTTCTAGGTGTTTGGAAATTGAGTGCTTAATTATTTGCCCCCCTATCCTTCTGTGTGCTGAAATTAATTTGACTAGCCTGTAATTCCACAGGTTGTCCTTATTCCCCTTTTTATAGATGGGCACGATATTTGCCCTTTTCTAGTCCTCTGGAATCTATCCCATCTTTGATGACTTTTCAAAGATAATCGCTAATGGCTCAGATATCTCCTCAGTCAGCTCCTTGAGTATTCTAGGATGTATTTAATCAGGCCCTGGTAACTTGAAGACATCTCACTTGCCTAAGTAACTTTTAACTTGTTGTGTCTCTATTTTAGCCTCTGATCCTACTTCATTTTAACTGGCATTCACTATGTTAGATGTCCAAATTGCCAATAAATGTTTTGGTGGGGGGGGGCAGTTATTCAGCACTTCTGCCGTTTCCACTTTTTTTTACGTGTCTGTGTGAATTACCCTAATAACTGATGATGGGTGCTATTACACTGTGGCTAATGTCACTCTTCTCCTGATGTTATACTGGTACACACGGATTTTACCTGGCATGTAAAAACAATTCAAATTAAGTCTATTTAAGTTTAGATTCTCCCAATTACAACTGAAGTTCAGCTCATTACTCCGGAAAGAATGGGGTTAATATGATTTTACACACAAGTGATTGCATTTTCCCATTATGCTGCTTCATCACCCTAAGCCCTTTGCTGGAGCCTTTAAATTGTATTGAAGTACAGAAGATGGGGGTGGGGCAGGGAAGCTATCGGGCCAGTTTGCTTTTACTAAAGTGGGTTTAAGAAGGGGGAAAGTGAGAGGGTACATGGCAGAAGGCATTTGATTCAACTATGTTTTCAGAGATTCATTAGCAGAAATTATCCAGAAAAATCTAATTTATACATTATCGTAATAACTCAATGGTATAGTGCTTTCTATACCTACACCACCAAAGCTTTACAGAGATTGGTCTTATTTCTGTAAAAACTGATGAGAAAACGGAAGCACAGGGATTTTTAATGACACAGTGAGTAAGAGCTGGTAAGAGAAATCCAGTTCCCATCCTAGAGCCCGGTCACTAGACCACATTGCCTAAATGGTGGTGGTTCCTAACCAACTGAGTATAGGAGGGAGTCTCCTGGGCTATGAGCATGTTAGGTTGTCATTAGTTAGGTTTCCCCTTGGCTAAATCTGATCACATTAAAGCTAGAATTTTGAAGACACAATGATATTAACTCCAACCAGATAAGCTGGAGATAGTAGCAAGCAGGATAGCGCAAACAGATAAACTAAGGAGTGGTTAGAAGTGGTGAAACATCAAACAGGTGGCCCATTAAAGTTGCTTAATCTCAAGAGCCATAGTTCTGTTCCTATCATGACTTGTTGGTAGAGGAACAGCTATCACAACTGGCTGCAGTGTTTCTGGGCTTGATCTGACAGGTGAACAGGTATGTTTTTAGAAGGTTGTTATCCTACGGAGAGGACATGCTCCTTTGCAGAGTTGTATTTGAAGAGAAAAGTCAAA